TTTACTTAGTGCTAAGCGTAAAGTGTAATTGCTAATCGTTAATCGTTAATCGCTAATCGTTAATCGCTAAGTGTAATCGCTAATTGTTAATCGTTAAGCGTAATCGCTAATCATTAATCGTTAAGCATAATTGCTAATCGTTAATCGTTAGGCGTACTACTTGTCTGCTAAATTCTACTCTAATAATAATAACTAAATAAGACTAATTGATAATAAATAATAAAATACAATATCAGAATAATAAACTAATAAAATAATAAACTGTTCTATAACAATAGTAATTAATATATAAATATATAAATAAATTTACAGTATAATATATATATAGCAAAATTAGCTTACCATTATATATGAATTATCATGAGCATTAGTTGCTATTTTAGACATTAAAGAACTAATCATGTAACCTTCTTTTGTACGAAGTTTGGCATATTTTATACCCCAATCATTTAACTTATATTATATAGTAAATTAGTATGTAATTAATATTTTATAATAAAAAATATTTTTATAATAAAATAAGCTTACTTTTAAAATTGGTTTTTCTAAATTAGCACGGTAAAAATTTGCTAATGCTGTAAATTCTTTATTATTTAATGTATAATCTAAACTTGGTGCCCAAAGTTCTTCTCCGCTATCTTTAATCTAAATTACTTAATATGAACTATATTCTTTAGAAGGTTGTGAAGGTAAAATTTGTTTATATAAATCTAAAATAAAATGAAGATGATAAAAGTAATCTTGTAACAATATATTATTCATTAAATTTTTATATGGGTTTAAATTAGATCAGACTATGTTGTAATATCTCACACAAACGTTCTATTAGATATTGCCAGTATACCCAACATGGTCCACAGTTTTTAATACAAGTTTGTATATGAAGCAGATAATGAAATGTAATCTGAAAGGATGGTAATTGCTTTATATCATTTCTGGCATATAATTTAAATAATAATATATATTTTAATATATTATTTAGATAAATTATAAAATAATATATAAATATATACCTAGTATATGTTTTAAAAAAGTTTGAAAGTTTTTATCTAAATAATCTAATTCTTCAAGAGCAATTGTTTTTTTTATAGCAATCTAAGCAGCTTTTACAAACAAATACCAATTATCTACATAACTATAATAATAAAAGTTAATTTTTTTAATTATATTTTATTTAATAAAATTAATTTAAAAAATATCTTTTACTATGAAAATGCCATAATAATGGTAATGAATATAAACAAGTCCAATTCACCCAATTCTTAGCTTTAAATGTATTAGAATATTGAGTAATATTTAGTAGAGACTGTCCAAACTCAGATGGTATTAATTTTTTATTTGCATCTATTATATGACTAATATTTTTCCAAATAGTTTTAGGTAAAGTTTGTGGATTGCTTTCAAAATTATTTAAAGACTTGTCTGTATAAAAAGTTTCTAACCAGTGCTTATATATTTGCATTGCAGCACCTTCAAATAGAAGATGCATTATATCTAATAGAAAAGAAGCAGAAAATTGTATAGCTTTTAATTCAAAAAGAATACTTTCTCCTGTTATACCTATAATATAAATTAAAAAATTTTATTAATTTAAAATTTAAAAATTTAAAACAATGATTTTAAATAATTTTTTAGAATTTGAATATATTGTTTCTATAGTATTTTGTAATTTAAACTTTATTTATTAGTAAAAATTATAAATATTAAATATTATAATAATATATTCAAATTTTAAATAATTATTTTAAAGTTATTAGTTATTATACCAGTTTCTTTTTGCGCCTTTTTTTTATCTGATGCAGATTTCTATATTGATACTTTGTTTAAATATAATTTGTGGTTTTGTAATAGAAGATTGTCTATATTATATAAGTTTTCACCATTGGTTGATAGATAATTTAAAGGATAATATACATGGTTAACTCCTGATTTCAAATCTAATACCCTCTTAAATCGCAAAATCTATAGCCCATATATCTATTATGTCCTGTTATATATGTTAATTTTGTAATTGCTAGTATATCACTACACTAAATTGGAACAAAAGCATGTAATATAAAAGTTTTTTTTTTCTAACCATCCCAACAAAGTATACCTTCTAAATTAAAAAAAAATATAAATTAAATTAAAGTTAATATTTTTATAAATTAAATTAATTTAATTTAATATATAAAATAAATACTTTCAAGTATTTTAAGCTCATCAATTATAGGCTATATAAAACTATTAAAGTTCTTTGAACTATTGGGACCAGGTATTATTGCTGCTATCAAAAGATTTTCTTGCTTAACTCTATCTTCTGATAGAATATTGTTATTAATAAACATAATCACCCAATTATCATCATGATATTGGCAAAAAAATTGATATCTATCTAAGCTTGCTGAAAGTACTAAATCTTATTCATCTTTAATTATATTATTATATAATAGCCTCTTATATAAATATCTATCAAAAATATCTTGATATATATTTGAATTAAATATATAGTTTGAATGATATCTAAAGGTTCTTGTAGTGAATTGACATGTTCACTCACGAGTAACCTGTCAGGCTGATCTGAGTAGACTGATAGATATTCCAGGTATTTTCAGCCATTTGCTGATGTTGGTTTATATTGGATAAAATAAGTTTAACATATCCTATTTTATCTGATGTAAACAAACATCATATTCTATTTTATCTGATGTAAACAAACATTAGCAATTGGCTAGAAATACCTAAAATACCCATCGGTCTACCTGGATCAGCCCGACGGGTCACCTGTAGATGAACGGGTCAATTCACTAGGTTCTTGATCTTTCAGAATTAGCATATTGAAGTTTTAATTGAGGAATTAATGGATAGTAAGCAGCTAATTTTTGTGCAATATTGTTTTCTTTAAATCGAGTAGTAAAATATATTGGGCATTGTATTGCTTCTATATATTCATCAGTATAAGCTGTACATGAATTAATATACATATCTATATATTGTATATTAATATTAACTAACTTTTGAAGAATATTTTTTGTTGAATATAATGTAGAACCATGACAATTAAAAATTTTCAATATTTCTTCAAAATTTTTATCAGAAATATGAGGATTTTTGATTTTAAATATAATGGTTTTAATATATTAATTATATTTGTTGATTCTAAATAAATAAAATAACCAATTAATATATAATTATAAATTTTATTTAAATTTATATAACTTAAGTAATATAAATATATCTTATATTTTAAGATAATATAAATTATTTATTTTTAATTTCTTGAATTAAATTGTTAGATCCATTATTTGCAAAATTATTATTTAATATTTCATATTCTTTGTTTTGTTATAATTCTAATTTTTTATATTGTTCAAATTGATTTAATAGTTTTAATTCTGAACTGTTATAAAGTTCTAAATCTAGTTCTTTTTGTTCTATATTTTTTAATTCTTCATATTGATAATTAAACTTGTTGATTTTTCGCTTTTTAGTATATATTTTTTCAATAATAATACCATCTTCATCATATATATATTTTTTAGCTTTTTCATGTTGACGTTTAATTCGTTTACTAAGTATTCGACCCTGTGAATCAATAATTACACAAGCTTTACATTTACAAATTTCTTTAGCAAATTCAAAAAAATACATATTTGTTTATATTTAAAATGTTTATGAATAAGTAATGTAGATCAGTTTAATTTTCTTGCGTATTATAAATAATTTATTATTTAAATTTTAGTATAACAAATAATGCAAATCAATTTTTAAAACAATATATATTTATAAAGTATAGTTAACTTGTCTCTAAATAATATAACTATCGTATTATTATAAAATAAAAATAGCTTAAATAACTATATTTTATATATTAGATAAAAATATTTAGTACTATAAAAATTTTATTCTAGCCTTATATTAAATGATTTATATATAAATATAAGAATTAAAATTTAATAAATATACTATATATTTAATCGTTATTGTAAATTAATTTAAAATTATATTGTATATTAAATGTAGCAAATTAAAATAAAATCAGATTAAAATG